CAGGTCTTCCAGATGCTGGGGGTAAAATCCAAGGGTGATGGGACATGTAATAGGTCTTGATAAGTGTTTGGGGTTTGTGCCTATTTTGTAGCACCATTTAGAGTATCATCTGACTTGGGGGGAAAAATATGTTACTACAAAAGGCAGATTAAATATAAGCATGGAGATATCCTTGTTTTAAAAGGGCCAAGGTGGTTGGTAGACCAAAAAAAAAAAAAAATTGGATATTTGCGTGGTTTTTGCACTTCTGTGGGTTTAACCAAATTTTCTTAAAAGTAAATTTATCTTAAAGAATAGAAATGAGGATAGCATGCCAGATGGGTTAGTGGGAGAGTTTTCAAAGTATGTGAGAATGGTATAACAAAATCAGAGCTGAAAGTTGGAAAAGATAAAAAAGAAAGCTATTGAATAGGAACAGCTTAACTTTTTAAAAGACCACTGTTCATATAGAAATATACTGCCTATATAAATTTCTAACTGGCCTTTATCCAGAGGAAACTAGTACTTTAATAAAAGCAATTATGGTTGCCAGTTAAAGTCTTGGTTCTCTAATAATGATGACCTTATGACAAAAAAAATTACAAGGACATTTTTGAAGTATGTTTTAAAGAAGTTTTCATAATAGTTAGGATGTCAAATTGGCCTTCAACTTCTTTATTAGTAAGGGAGTTGTAATGCAATTTTTGTTGACCTGGTTTGGAAACTCCTTATAACTCAGCTCCTCAAAAATATCAACTCATTTATTGTGTTTAGATTCATTCCCTCTCAAAAGCTGCTGAGGGAACAAATTAGTGCTCAGAGCTGTTTACACTTGTAAATGCAATTAAAATTGAAAAGTCAGTAGGCAAACTCACTGGGATCTCTGATAATAGCAGTGGTTGTTTCGCTTACAATAATTCAAACTGATGAAGTGGAAAAAAACAATCGCTTCAAGAGTTTATAAAATGGCATGTATATCGCGGATACAAATTAAGTGTGCTACTCAACATTCTTTGCTAGACTAAAAAGTATCTGTTCAAATATACGAAGTAGTCCCTGTATTATATATGTATAATGTGTTTTACTTTTTATATTTAGTATAATGTAAAAGTATAATGTGTTATACTTTTACTTTTTATATTATATTTTTTAATTTTTTGTTAACTCTGCTACTGTGTGGGATATTTTAAACCATACAGACATTTTCAAATTGAACCTTAAAACTCAGTCAAGTTTTAAATTGTTAGAGAGTTTAACAAAATTAAAGGTATTGAGCTACAGTCAGCATAAAACAGCCACCTTATATATTCAATTAAAATTATACCACGGAGAAGTTCATGATTTTGCCTGTCAGATTGAATGATGCCACAAGATTGCCGTCTCTTAATCAGCGCCACTCATGAGTTCTTCAGACTAATGGCCCATTAAACTCAATGTAGGAGTAACTTCACTGGAAGATGGCTTTTTTTTCATTAACCTCTGAGTACCCTGGCAAAACTGCACAGCCTGGCTCCCTTTACTTGGATGGGCAAAAGTTCATTGTGTAGACTTTGAATGATAATTGGTAGTAAGTTTTGTTTGTTTGTTTGTTTGTTTTAAATATAATTTAAATTTTCCCTTATTTGTTTAATGACCTTTTCTTGAATACTTACCATGTGCTAGGCATGATGCCGAGGATGCATGTAAAACAGACATGGTCCCCTTTGTCACAGAACTTACAGCTGGAGAAGAGGCACCTGCAAAATCTAGTCCGATCAACCAACCCGGGTGTATTGGTTAAAAGAAGCTTCTTGGAGTAAGAACTAGACAGGAGATGGGGGTGACCTGACAGTGTCGTGGGAGAGGTGATCTGCGGGTCAAGCGAGTTGGGGTGCTGTACTGCTAGATTTTACATCAAAATGGACGGCAAAACATTTGGGATGGGTAAGGGGAGGAGCTGTCAAGGACCGTAGGCTTCTTCCTTGAGCGGTCTGTGGTGCCGGACTGAGGAGGAGAAATGGATTTGGGATTTGGGTACTGAGAGTGGAGGAAAAGGCATTTGGTTGAGGCAGGGTTTGTTTGAGGAACCACTTGTTTTCATGTCTTTTGTAGGTGACTTTTTCTTGTGAGTGTCTCAGAGAATCTGACATTTATGTTAACATTTATGTATTTGCACAGCAAATTGAATATTGTAGCTCTCTGATTTGCTCTTTATCTCAAAAGATTATTTATATGCATGTAATCATATTCTTTTCTTATCTGGGTTCCTAGCATTCATTGGGGTAATTTAAGTAAAAATTAAAAGAAAAATTATTTTTAAGGAAAGAAAAATTATATTCCATGCACCTGAGTGGCTCATTTGGTTGAGCGACTGCCTTCAGCTCAGGTCATGATCCTAGAGTCCTGGGATCACGTCCCACATCAGGCTCCCAGCTCAGCAGGGGGTCTGCTTCTCCCTCTGACCTTCCCCCTCTCATGCTGGCCTGCTCTCATTCTCTCTCTCTCAAATAAATAAATAAAATCTTTTTTAAAAAAAAATAAAAAAGTTGTATTCCACAAATTACTAAGAGGGAACATTGGATAAGGAAAATCTTTACCTTCAAAAGCCCACGTTATTCTTCAAATAGACATCTATTGACCTGCTGTTAAATTGCTGGGTATATCACAAAATTCATCATTTCGTATAATTTTTTATTTTTTTATCAATAAGTTTTTGAAGTTTCTACATAAATACCAAAAGCCCACAAAAGTAACAGCAAAAAAGTAATTTCTGTAGCATAATTTAGAACCCGTTTTATTTGCCAAAGAACTTCCTTTCATATAGACAGAAGGAGAAACCTATAACTTACTGTGTTTATTAGATTCAACTAAATCATTGCTCAATGGATTAAGCTGTGGCCTTGGTCTAGCGAGACTGTTGGCTGTTTCAGGGATTGGCTATGGCCGCATGTGTGCCGTGAGACTGAAGGGGGCTGCAGAGTAAGGCGGCTCCTTAATCCATCTTCGATTAGTAAAATAAGCAAGTTCAGGTTCTCTCTGCCCACCTGCTGTTTATCCAGAGCAGTACTATTAGAATCAAATAGCAGAGTGGAGCTATTCATTTGGTCTATAATTTGTACTACCTACTCGTTATCTTACCTATGGTCTTAAATATATATAATAAAACTTTAATGTTTTTATTCTAATAAGCCAGATTTGTAAATTTCCTTTTTGTGTTAATGTATGGCAGTCTCAAGAGTGTACACTGTGTTATCAAATAGAGCTTTGAGAGTTTGCACTTTAAATATCTTAATTTTGCTGGAAATTTGACCTCATCAGACAATAACTGGTTAAAATCAGAAACATACCCACACACACGACTGCAGTACAAGTAGCAAAGGCGTAAATAAAATGGGTATGAAAGTCAATTTAAGTTCAGTTTTTGTGCTCAGTGGAAGACACAAGTCTGAGATATTTGAGTTTCCCATATGCTTATTACATTATCACTGCTCAGCAGGTGCACTCACATAGCTTGCTTATGGAGGAACCAGTAGCCCATTTGCACTGGTTTTGGCAGACTCAGCAGGTCCCACCATTGGCTGATGTTACATCATTTTAGAATAAATTAATACAAGCACTTTTATACCTGACTTAATACCATTAAAGTGCAAATACTTCATTGTCTTACTATTAGGCCCAGAGTTTGGAGTTCAGTTAATAAAGTTGTTACAGCTTCAATTTTTAAAACAAAGGATGAATGCAGAATGTAATTTTTTTCTGAGGAGTCAGCTAAAACCTTTTTTCTTTTTTTTTTTTTAACCTAGCACCGAGTGGCTCTCTACTTACCCTGTTGTCAACACTAAGCAGATTTACACTGGTTAATTCTGGCAGGTGTTAAATTTCAGCTCCCCATCCCTTACTCACCTTCAGTATAAAAGCACTGCTGTTTGACTTTAATAATACAGTTTGAATTTGTGAAAATGTATGAAGGTATTCTGTGTTAAGAAATGTATTGTGTTATTTGAAAATGTATTCAATACCTATATCTTAAAAAAACAATTGAAATGACCTACTTAAGCTCTATTTAAAACTTGGGAGATAGAAGGGTGCCTGGGTGGCCCAGTCAGTTGGCATCTGACTCTTGATTTTGGTTCAGGTCGTGATCTCAGGTTCATGAGATTGAGCCCTGCATTGGGCTCTGTGCTCAGGGCAGTCTGCCTGTCCCTCTCCCACTGCCGCTCTCCACACTCAGCGTTCCCTCTCTCTCTCTCTCTCTAAAATAAACAAATAAATTTTTTTTTTTAATGGTGGGAGGTAGAAAAGTGTAATAAGACTATTTCTGCTACTTACGGTATATAATAAACATTTGTGAATTAAAGAATTATACTTGTTATTGTGTCCTAGTGGATTGACTTTATTGCTGTATGAAAAATTGTGTGTAATGTGTTTCTTCTGGAAGGTAAAATTATCTTGATAAAGTTTTAGTAAGCTAAAACAGAAATGTGAAGACATTTTAGATGCTTTCATTTTCTTAAAAAAATAAATCTAACCAGTTCATTGACTTTTTGAGGCTTTCATTAGTGTGTATTTTTCTGGTTCTGGTGTATCCAGTGAAACATGACTAATTTAAGAATATGATTGTGTGTTTATTGGAAAAAAATGGTCACACATTTCTCTTATAGAGCCTCACAATAGAAATTATTACAAGCGTGTACTTGGAGGAGAAGTAGTGAACAAAGCACCATACTGTAAAGGCCCACATTTTGTGAATGTAAACTGATGGCTTGGTAGTACTTGTTTATAATTCTACGCAATAGCATACCTCTGGACCAACATCCTTGGGAAGGCCTTTATTATTTATAAGAATTTAGTTTTACTGAATATATAGTTCAATTGAAAAAGAAATTATTAGACCATGTTTTATATTATTAGCAATATTCTTCAGCATTTTTCCTTTAATATACAAACTGCCACAAACTGACGTCTGTGTTTTACTAAGATTTTTGTATATATTGAAACTTTTAAACAAAATGTTAAGACTTCTATTTCTTTTTTTTCTATAGGAGTACCAAAATCAAATCTCCTGCACACCAAATCACTAAGGGGCCATAAAGACTGCTTTGAAAAATACCATTTGATTGCAAACCAGGATTGTCCTCGATCTAAACTTTCAAAAAGTACTTATGAAGAAGTTAAAACCATTTTGAGTAAGAAGATAAACTGGATTGTACAGTATGCACAAAATAAGGATCTGGATTCTGATTCTGAATGTTCTAAAAATCCCCAGCATCACTTGTTAAATTTCAGGCATAAGCCAGATAAGAAGTTACTCCCACAGTTTGACTCCCAAGTTCCAAAGTATTCTGCGAAGTGGATAGATGGAAGTACAGGCGGGCTCTCAAACTGTTCACAAAGCATATTGGAGCACAGGGGAAATACAGACTTCGAGCTTGCAATGTTGCAAGATTCAGGTGCCACTCTATGCCACAACAGTGTATTGTGGCCTCACAGTCACAACCAGGCACAGAAAAAAGAAGAGATAATCTCTAATCCAGAGGCTGATGTCCGGACCCAGCATCCACGGTACAGCAGAGAGGAATGTAAGTAAAATGGGGAGAAAGGTAATGATTGCAGTTTTGGTGACTTTATTTTCTTTTTACATTTTTATACATGTGGAATTTCAAGAATTTGGCTGTAGAATTATAGATTTTTATAGCTTAATTAAATGACAGGATCACCCTAGCAAAAATGAGGTGTCTTAGGTACCTGGGTGCCTCAGTCGGTTAGGCGTCTGACTCTTGATTTCAGCTCAGGTCGTGATCTCTGGGTTGTGAGATGAAACCCTGTGTTGGGCCTGTGCTGGGCGTGGAGTCTGCTTAAGAGTCTGTCTCTCCACCCCATCTGCCCCCCAAGAAGATTCTCTCTCCGTCTGCCCTTTCCTCATCTATCCCCCCAAAAATGAGATGTCTTAGATTCTCCATCAGTTCTCTGAAATACTCCTTATTGTGTCATAAAGCATTCGAATTCTACAGTCCATCATATCTTTTGCCATTTTAAGTTTATTAAACTAAATGCAATTGACAAACAGAAGGAAGTTCAGAGTTCCTGTAGTTTTACAAGTACATCTTCAAGCATTGGCTTACACACACTGACCCCATTGCTCATCCCTACAACACTAACTGACTGGGGGTGGCATTTCAAAAGCCACAATCTGACATACATTTCACTAAAGGACAAAGGTAATATGTGCACTTATTTTAAAGTTGGAAAAATTGAGCCTTTCAGTTTGTGTTTATCTCTGCAAAAACTCACAGAAGCTGAGACAATTTTTTTTTAAGATTTTATTTATTTGACAGTGAGAGAACACTAGTGGGAGTGGGAGAGGAGGAAGCAGGCTCCCTGCTGAGCAGAGATCCTGATGCAGGGCTCTATCCCAGGGATCACGGTGTGAGCCAAAGGCAAACACAACGTCTGAGCCACCCAGGTGCCCCAAAGCTGAGATAATTTTTTTACTCTAAGTCCAGGGATTTTTGAGCTTGAAGGGACTTTGGGTATATTTTTATGCAATTTCTCGATTCTACATATGAATTACCTAAGGTTACATAATAAGGTAGACAAATCAGTTTTTCAAACTATTTCCGTGGTACTTTTGTGTTTTTCCAGCTGTGCATCATGAACTACGTAGTGCTTAAGTATAATCAACTTGATGAGTAGTGACTTCTAGCACTTTTTAAAAACTGAAACAAAGGGAAATAACAGAATCCAATGGATATAATACGAAGTATTCTCTGGCATAACTTTTGATTCAGATGGTGGAGGCGTACTGGGAGTGACGTAAAATGTTTCTTACTGTGGGTTGAAAATGTTCTCCATACTTCAGGAGTTCATGAATGGCTCCTACTAAAGTACCAGTGAATATTGTAGTGGCAGATAAGTGCAAATGTTTTTTTAAAAATTAACTATTGTATTAGTGATGTAGACGTTTTATTTCCCCATGTTACTATGGTAATAATTAACATATTTTCATGTTTCAGTGAATTCGATGACTCTTGGTGAGGTAAAGCAACTGAAAGCAAAGCTCCGACAGGAAATACAGGGTAAAGAATCAGTGTTAATGTTTTATGCTTGTGAAAATGTTGATACAGAAAATCCCCTGTGACAGGACACTATTAGCTTTATCTGCATTTAAATTTGGAAATGGGATTAGAACCTATTGGAGTTTCCAGAGCAAAAAGAATAAGAAAACAACTTCTTCATGAAATCAAAAGGACTTAAGTTTTTCTTGTTTCAGTAAAAATGGAGACCTGGAGACCTCTACCTTTGAGCTGAACCTCTGCCCTTCTTAACAGTTTACTGTGCCAGGCACCATACGCTTGTACTCCCTAAGTTCCACTGGGTTGTATTAGCCCTGTTTTGTGGATGTTTTCAAATTATAAACCATTTCAAACACAGAAGTAGCAAGAATGGTATAGTGAACCCCTTGACCCATCTTTAACAGCTTCAGCTATTATCAAAAGCATAGCTAATTTTCTGTCATCTCTACTTGCACCCATACCTTCGCGCCACTCCCACCCCCAGGATGGATTATTCAGAAACAGGTTCCAGACAACATATTGTTTCTCCACAAATACTTCAGGATTTTCTCTAAAACATAATTTTTCTTTTAAAGTAATCACAACCTCATTATCACCCCTAAAAAAAAGAAAAAGACAGCTAGTAATCAAATAGTATGCTAACTCTAACAACAGTTAGTGTTCAAATTCCCCAATTGTTTCCCTTTTTTTTTTTTTTTTAAATATTTGATTTCCATTTTGGTGAGGAAACCACTTCAGAGACATTAAGTGCTTACAGAGATCACACAGATTAAGGATTACAGATTAAGGATTACATAACCTTCCTTCCTTAACTTCACAGCCAGTGTCACAATAATAATCGTAAATTAATAACAGTAAATAGTAGTAACAATTTCTGCTTATCAAGTGCTTATTCTGTGGAAAGAACTTTACAGGTGTGATCTCATTTACTTCTCCCAGTAGCCATATGAGGTGCTTACTGTTAATACCGAGGTTATACATAAGAGGAAATGAAAATGTGGTTTAAGTTACTTGCCTGAGACTCATAAAAGTGTAGGAACAAGAATTCAGAAATGAAGGTACTCTGATTCCAAAGCCTCTTAGAGGGGTTTCCAGACCTGGGTATGAATAGGCACTTCCTATCCATAAGCCATAGTGATACTAATTGAACCCATTTATGTATTCAACTACCTTTTAAATCTTTACAGAAGTTTTTGAAGAGTTGACACATCAAGTTCAAGAAAAAGATTCTTTGGCCTCAGAGCTCCATGTCCGCCACGTTGCCATCGAACAGCTTCTCAAGAACTATTCCAAGTTACCGTGTCTGCAAGTGGGGCGAACAGGAATGAAGTCACACCTACCCATGAACAACTGAACTAAACTTACACTTACTTCCTTTGCCCTCATGCCCCTACCATTTATTGGTCTGCTAGGCATGCCAACTTTGAAGACGTGGAAGAAAGTTAAACAGTCCATTTTTTTATGGTCATTAAATTTGCAAAGCTGAAGGCAGTATTTAACATCTTTGTCAAATAAAGCAGATCATTACAGTCTTAGTCTTCTAGGATTAATCATTATGGTTCGTTTTGGGAATCTTTCTTCCCATAATTACTAAATGGCCCTGCTTAATTTACCACATGTGACTATGGTTACAGTGTGATTTTATTAAACATATTTTAATGTAATTCACCTATCAAAACAATAGAAAAATTTTTAAAAACTCCTTAGGTTAGTCTGAACTACTAAAGATAATTTTAAGAGGGAAATGGAATTCATAATACACCTCTTATTTATTATGAGCAATATTTTAATATGAAAGTTTTATATATAAAAATGCTATTTTAGGTACCTTTCCATTCTCTTTATAAATGTGTATTTGAATGCCACTGTATATTATATTTACACTTTCCTATGTGAATATGTTCATCCATATTTCATATCACTGCATTTTATTCTCTTAATACACTCTTTTTACTGTTACCTTGTTTTCCAAAGATAAATGTATTTTGGAGTAGAAATCTATCTAGTTGAATTGTTTTGACTTCTGATAAATCTTATGAAAGAGGAATTAATAACTTTTTAAAGCAAGTATCCAAGAAAAAAAAGGACGTAATTTTTTTCCAGCAAAAGCAGTTCTGAGTTAGTTAAGAAAGAAAATGCTAATCTAGTTTTCATATGTCACCTTGTCTCCATAGAAGTAAAAGCCTCTTCTACTTCATTATTATTTCCATTCTAATGACTTCGATGTGTTAGAATTTGGACAGAGTAAGTCAAGCCTCACTTCCAAGTCAGTCAAATGTAGTATCTGTCAAATTGAATGTGCTGCAAGATTGTTGTCCCGTCTTTGTAAAAAGCTTCAAATTCTTCTGTTTGCCACTGCAGATACAATTCAAGAATCCTTAAACTGTCCACATTCTCTTAGCAGCATCACTGAAATTAGTGCCCAAAGAAAACATTGTGAGGTATTTTTTTCTAAACTTTAGAATTTAAAGGAGGGAAGAGAAGACTGCTTGACACAGAAAAAACTGATTCAAAAAAAATAAGCCCATTTCGAAGGGATATTCTTGTAAGTTGCCTGTGATGCTTCCAAAGAATTCTGAACTAGCTGGTCATCTCAAACAGCTAGATATGTTTTTTAACAATGTTTTGTGTAGTAAAAGCTATAACCAGTGCAGAATTAAAATGGGCTCTAAATTCTGTTTTTAGTTGGTGCTTAGAATGTATTTATGAGGTAAGATTTTTGCTTGAAAGAATCTGCAGAAAAGCCCATTAGCTTGGCAGCTTCGTGCATAAAGATAGGAATGACTTCTGTCTTAAATCTGGCAGCCTGCCCTGGCTTGGGGTCAGATTTTAGTCTTGAACACAAACAGTATTTGACTAAGCAGAGAAACGCCTCAATCTAGTAGAAAAGAACTTTTTGTAATGCTAAGATGTGTTAAATTTGCCTCAGAGTATTAATTGATATCGCAGTTGATTTTGTTTTAAGTATGATGTAACTGTTTTTAGAGCTTTTGAAAAATGTTTTCAATTTTTCTCGATTCTTTGAGTCATCCAAAATGAATTTAAAATCCAGGGAGTGGGGATACATTGCCTTAGTTTTGATAAGCTTTAAACTGAATGTGTGCAATATCAAAATCTTTATAAATTTACAAGTTGAATAAAGACATTTCCTGATGATGCCAGTAAAGTGCTTAGTTGTTAGGTCACATTTTTTAATTTGACTTTACTCTTATTTGGCATAATTCATCAAGAATGTTATAAGCCAGTGTGCTTGCACACGTTTGTGCTTCTACTTGTATCGCTTAGGGACAGCCGTAAAAGTTTGGGATGTGTTGCATTTGATACCAGTAGTAGCCTATTTCCAGAGTATGAGCCATATGGTGCAGTCCTAAATGCAACGGTGTTAATCCAAAGAAAAGTGTTTGCTTTGTTTCTGGCAAATATGTAGCTTTACTAATTGAGTTTGGAACAATTGGGTGCGATTGTGCATGTACTTATGGTCTTAATTGGAGATTCTGGTTTATTCCATTTAGATATTTCTACCTAAGCTCTTCAAAGGAAAGGTGCTGTTAAAAAAAAAAAAAAAAAAAATCTGTGGTGCTGATACTCACATTAGTACTTTATGTGGATGAATATGGTAGTAAAAGAATTTTTTCTTGAAGGATTTTGTACAGCAGCTTATCCACATATTTGGTAAACTGATTCCTGGGTTAGTTTTCTTTTCTTTTTTCTTTTTTAAGATTTTATTTATTTATTTGACACAGAGAGAGAGATCACAAGTAGGCAGAGAGGCAGGCAGAGAAAAAGGAGAAAGTAGTCTCCCTGCTGAGCAGAGAGCCCCATGCAGGGCTTGATCCCGGGAGCCTGAGCTGAAGGCAGAGACTTAATCCATTGAGCCGCCCAGGCGCCCCTAATTTTCTTGATTAAATATGCAATTATTGTATATGCAAAAATAAAAATAAGGGACAGAGTTAAGTTCTATCTTGAGAGAACATGAAATACTACATATATTAGTTACCATACTTGGCTATTCTTCAGTGCAGTTGTTAGTACTTTTTGAGGAAGTTTAGAAGAAAATCTCGTATATACCATCAGTTTCAAAAACAGCAAAAGGAAGAAGACTGCCAATCAGCTGTTACTAATATTTTCAGAGCTTATAATGATTAGGAAGAGTGAAATAAGACTAATGTTTTTTCATGTTAGATTTCATAATTAGACAAATTGAGTTTAAAAAAATCAACTTGAAGTTGAAAGCAATTTTGATCACACAAGACTATTCACTTTCAAGATTAAAGTTTTCAAATTTGTTCAGACTTTTAATTAAGTTAAAAATCTATTTTAATTTGAGATTATCATCCTTTGATCAAAGCATTTAATATCCAAATTAGTCTTTTCTTTCTTTCTTTCTTTTTTTTTTTTTTTTTTGTTAAGGAAAAAAATAAGGCATGCACTTAGGACCCAGTAACAGGTGATGCAGAGAGCGTATTAGTGGCGTTTTGTTCCATCATGTAGTTCCTTAGATGTTGGAGCAAAGAAATGTTCTTAGTTCTTCAAGTTTTATGCTCATTTCACCACAAAGTGCCCATTTTTGTATACACTTGAGAATTATTTTTTAAAATAACAAGTTCATGTTGGAAAGTGATTTCAAAAATGTAATCAAATTGTCTTCTATTTTGTTGGCATCTTGACAGGCATCTTGAGATTTCTTGGGTTTTTCATCTGATCACATTCTTTACCACTGAAAATGGTCTAAAAGTGCTTTTCTTGATACATATTTTACCTTGGTGTTTACACTGTTGAAGCTTGTCAATTTTTGCTAAGTTTTTTTAAATTAATTTTGAGGATCTATTTGTATGTGTGTTAATGCTTACCAGCTTGGGTTTTATTTTGTTTTAGAAGAAATCTGCTTGTGTTATTAAATATTATAAAATGCAATTCAAAATGTATATGCTCTAAACTTAAGAACTTTTTTTTTTAAGATTTTATTTATTTATTTGACAGACAGAGATCACAAGTAGTCAGACAGGCAGAGAGAGAGGGGGAAGCAGGCTCCGCACCGAGCAGATAGCCCGATGTGGGGCTCGATCCCAGAACCCTGGGATCATGACCTGAGCCGAAGGCAGAAGCTTTAACCTGCTGAGCCACCCAGGCGCCCCTAAACTTAAGAACTTTTAAAGAATAAATTATTTGTGTAGCTTAGAAGGAGGTTCAGTTGGTGACCATAAAATTAGGTTGTGACATGAAAATTTTCAAATGGTACAGTGTAAAGTTCTTATAGTGTTTTTTTTTCTGATTTACTGGGATATTGCTTAATGCCAAAGTAAGATATCTGAGTATTTTTAAGTACTTAATAAAAAGTTTAGTACCCTACCAACTTTTTAAAGATCTGTTGTTCAGATGCAGCTGTAAAGCAAGGGCGATTGATTTTCATTTCAGTGTTTAATTGCATTTTTAACTTAGGGTTGGTGGAAATAATTATTTGAGGAAATTTGTGGTGAGAATCAGTAAGGGATAAAACCTTCAACAGGTTATTCTTGCCACATTAAGTCTTGTGGTAGGGAGGAAAGAGTTTATTTAGCAGAATAATAAGGTACTAGGGCTCTGGCACAAGCAAAGGGGTGTTGGAGGAGGGTTCTACTACTGCGGAATAACGAGGTCTTTTCTGACACATCAGTGTTCGCCTTCACTTCATCCCTTCCTAATTGCTCTTGTTATAGTTTAGTCTCACCCCTTCAGCAACTTGGTTACCTTGCTATGAAACAATGGTAGCAAGTCTCTAGCACTAAGTTTTTTTTAGCACCTAGTTTGTAACATATACATGCACTATTCTTGTTAGTTTAAAAAGAACCCAAATTATTAATGCGTTTTGGCAATATTGAATTAGTACACAATTTTAAGCTTACCAAAGGAAAACCAAAAAATCATGAAGATGAATATTGAGCCCTCACCCCCTCCACAAAAGTGTTAGTTGGACTTCCCTCAACTGCACACCCCTCAAAAGGAATTTTAGTAAATGTGTTTTTCTTCAAACATGTAGAGTATTTCCATTCTGCTGCCTCCAAAAGTGGCAATTTAGAAAACGTTCCATAGTGATTTGTGTTAAGTGCCATCATCCCTACTTTTATAGTTTGTATGTGTGTGTTAACCCTGTTTTGAAGCTGAGTAACCCATACTGTGGCCATTGAACCTGGTCTCTCTTTGTTGTTAGAAATTTACTTTACAGAATTGTGCTAGGGTCTTTGGGAAAAGAAAACGAAACTAGTGGTGAAAAACAAGTCCGTTTTAAAAGCGTTTTAGACATTACCTTGCATTTTTTTTCTTTTAAAACTGCAATAATTTATATATTTGTATTGTTCTGCCTTGGAACTGTAACTACATATGCTTGTCTACTTTTTTAATTTTGCAACAATAAAATAATATTTTGTTATCAGTTAGCTTCAGCGTATATTTTTAAATGTGCTTTTTTCTTCTTAAATTGTTGACCTCTAAGAAGGGTCTGGTTTTGCAGGCCTAGGGAATCTACTTAACCATCATTTTCTAACAGTTTATC